AAAAAGTTTATTTTGAATTTTAATAAACGTTCATCAAACAACTTTAGTGAAAAATCGAAAAAACGAACTACAAACATATTAACGCCAAACATGCGGTAGAATTTATAGAATATTGTATATATATATATTATAATATATTAATTAATAATATATATAATAATAACAAATATAAATAAGTTACGTTTTTAAGTCAAATAAATTGTAAAATCACAAAACAATAATCAATAAATGTTGTAAATTCTAGACTGAACACAGAAGAACTTAGACAATATTTTCACAAAAAAAATCATATCGAAATAGCAAAAGAGCAACTGGCACAAATTTGCCTAAAAAGAGAACTAGATAATTTGAAATTAGAAGAAGATAAAATGTTCAATAAATTGTGGCAAGCTGACATTGAAACAAAGCTGAAACAAGAGAAGGACGATTTTTCGAAAAAACTTAAATCGGTCAAAGAAATGAACGCTCACTTGTTGCAACAAATTGCAGAGTCAGAAGCAAAAAAAAAGGAGGAACACTTAAACAAAATGGATGAACTGAAATTATTAGTTAGAAATTTTTATTGTTTATTACACATTCTTTGATGGATCTGGATTATTGAAAATAATAATAATAATAATAATAATAATAATAATGGGAACATCTTTTATTTTTCACCATAAAAACATACAATGATAAATATTATATATATATATATTTATATATATATATAAGTTAATGTTAATCAAATAATGCGCAATGATAAAATTTTTAAAAATTGTATAAAATAATATTAAAGGTTAAAACCATTTTGCTCATTGTGAAGTTAAGTGCAGAACGGGAAAATATATTTAATTAGCATCATAGCTTGTTCCGGTCAGTAAATGTCATACAATAATCTTATAACAGTGTTTATCAATTTATCATTAAATGATAGCTGCCACGGAACTTTAAACAGTGACAAATTAAAATTATTGTAAAAACCAATAGGCGTTATTTCGAATGAGTTTATAACTATTGAACAATGTTTATAGTCTTTATTTAAACAACAATGCAAATTATTAAAGAATTTATTTCTCTTCTATTGCCTGGAGGATTCTAGATTGGTTTCATGGCACACAGTTAATTCTAGAATCTCAATTTTGTTATTATGAAGTATGGCGATATCGGGTCGTAAAGTGTTGAATAATTGAGATATTGGGCGAATACCCTCGGACTCTAAATCTGCAAATATGCAGCAATTGGCTGGCGCGGATATTTTCAGCCAATTGATGATCACGGCCAATATCTTGTTGTGTCTTTCGGTATATCTTGCCAGAGCGGATGTAAAACCCAAATTGGAAACTACGTGCTTATTTGACTGTCGAGAATCACAGAGAGGGCATTGAGGGCTTTGCGTTTTACCCCATCTAAACAAATTTGCGTTAGTAGGCAACTGCTGGACTAAATACTTCTTAGCAAATTTGTAGAGGACTCCGGCAAGATTTTCCGTGGACTTTGACCAAAGGGATATGTTGTTGGTTTTGATGAAATTTTTTATATTTAAAATTAGTGAACCTTGACTCTGCAGCGAGAAAACATGATTTAAGCTACATTCAATTCTTTTTTCTTCCAAATGACTAAGCGACAACTTTATTTGGCCGTATTTTAAGAGCGTTATTATCTACTTTGATAAAATCGATCGCTGATGCTTTATAGAGACATTGAATCTCTTTGTTGCTATTAGTTTTAAAATAGTTCTGAAGTTTCAGTCTCATTTTTTCTGTCGCATCTTTTAATGAAATGATGCCATGACCTCCCATTGTTGTTGGCAGAGAAAGTACTTCAGACACATCAGCTGATTGGCATATCTATCCACTTCCTGACAGCGTTAACAATCAGATTATTTAGGTTCTCTGATATCCATGTCAGCGAAAAGTTGTAGCTGCGGAGTTCAAAATTCAATTGAGACGGTATAAATTTTCTTAAAATTAGTAGTTTTTGCTGTGGGTTCACTTTCAACTTTGAAGTCGTTTCCAACAGTTGGACAACTTTAGCTTGTATCAGCGTTTTTGCTTTGAGGTCGTTGCGTTACGTTAGGGATTGCCACATCGTCGATCGTCAATCTTGGCAGAAATTGCTCATAAGTACCTTCTTTCTTCCTCATTCCAAACGAAAAACATTTATCGACTCTCATCTTCATCTCTGACCAATTGCACCAAGTTTGGTTTAAATCAAGTTTTTGTGCGCCTTCTGAGCTATGTGCTATGATTGCTGAGTCGTCAGCAAATTGTAACCATGATCTAGCGTTTAAGTCCGAAGTTGGGCCCCACAGATTGTTTGTATTCTTGACTGTCTAGATTTTTCATGAGTGGATTAAAGCAAATATTGAAGAGTAATGGTGAACATGGGTCGCCTTGAAGCACCCCTTTCCCGACTGGTATTGCTTGCGTGAGTTCACCGTTGACTGATATTGATATTGAGTAGTCGGAATATATTGATGATATTAATTTATGAAGTGATTGGGGAACATGATGATATTCTAGAAATGAAGTGATGAAGTTGTAATTTACTTCTCCAAAAGCATTTTTCAGATCCAACAATGCGACAACAATAGTGCGTTGATGTCGTTTAGCATTTTTTAACAGATGGGATAGCATTTGTGTATGTTCGGCTAGCCCATCAATCATTGGATAGAATCCCTTCTGAATATTTTTGTTGATGAAATTGTTTTTGTCTAGAAAATTGTATAGTCTGGATTTTATGAGAGCTGAAAAGATTTTGTAAAGTACCGTTTGCAGTGTGATCGGCCAAAAATTTGCTGGGTCGCTTGCATCATCTTTTTTGTAGATTAAAACTGTTAGCCCCCTACGCCAACATTGTGAAATTGTTGTTGAGCGCCAACACATTACCAACAATTTATGTAGATACGTCTTTATTATTGGGCATCCTTAGAGGGCAATAATTGAGATTTAGTCCAGTGGACATGGAGATGCCTTTGCTTTACTTCTACAAATAACTGTTTTAATTTCTTTATAAGGTGGCGGATCCAAATTACCTTGGAATCAAGGAGCAGGAAGTGAATCAATCCAATTAGGGATGCGAAACGCTGTGCGATCGCCAGCGTTCAAGATGTTTTTGAAGAAATTGGTGGCAGCTTCGATGCTGAGGTGTGGAGACTGCAAAGTTGAATTTGAAAAGATGTTGTTACATGTTTTCCAAAAGTTTTTCTTCAGTTGAGAAGAAATGTTGTTGTTATCATTTTTTAGTATTTTATTGGTTTTTAGTATTGCTCTAATCTGTTTGCTCAGCATACGTATTTCATTGTTGAATCGAGGGTCAATCTGAGCCAACGATTTTAAATTTCTCAATTTTGTTTTTAAAAGCCTAATATCACGATTTATGTGCTCAACAGGTTTTGATTTCATTTTTAAAGTGCCACAGTTAGCAGCAAAATATGAATAGATTGCCTCTTGGAACCTGTTAGCGAAACTGTCGATATCTGAGATAGCGTCTAGACTTCTAAATACCAGCTGAAAGAATGCGTTGGCCTCAGACCACTGAGTTGATGATTTGGGCAATTTTATTCCGGGTATTGGCTTTGGAGTAGATGTTGAAGTTGACGTGTGTTGAAATATTGGCTGACTGTCGTTTGATTTATCTTCTTGAGTTACTGGCTTGAGAGATTTGTTTATTTTACACGATCTCTGGTGCATTGACAGTCCTTTTCGTCCTTTGCATGACTTTCCACAACAACATGACAGCGAATTATTTGAATTATCCGGTAAAATATTGTTATTATTAATTGTCAGTAAATTTGGAGAAATGAAATAATAATAATAATGATAATATTTAAAATTTGAAACTTTTGTACTATATTGCTTCAGAAAAAAACAAAAATTAAAACTCTCATTTGACAGTGTCTTCTTCGTTCCTTAACTAATGTATCGATTCTGCAAACATTTTTCAAAATGCCTTTTCATATCTTTTTGTTCATAGCTGCGTTAATTTTGGAGATTCTGTTCTTACTGCTTCATCCAGTTATATTGTTAACTAATCACTGATAAAAAAAACTTGAAATACTCGAATTAGAACTTATAGTAAATTTATCTTGAAATACTCGAATTAGAATTTATAGTAAATTTAGGTGCATTTATAAACAAAATTAAAAATAAATTTTCATGGTAGCAGTGCAAAATAAAATGAATTTAATGGAAAATAAAATGAATTTATTGCAAAATATATAATATTATAGGACACAGTTACTTCTCTCTACGTGGATTCTTGACTTCTGAACAAACTTATTTTAGATGAACTTTATTAGGAAGAATACAATGCAGGCAATCACTTGTTTGTATTGCTGTGACTAATCACTTATCAATTCAATTATAAAATTGTTAGAATATCACAATAACGAATCAACAGATAAATCAATAAATAAAACCAATAGTCAATAACTAGACTTATCCTGTCAGATGTTTCTTAGCCGTAAATTTTCAGTATTCACTGTACTCATTTCTCAAAAGATTGTCGTTAATTTACAAACAGACCGCGTGTAGAATTCTTCGTGAAAACTCTTGGACTTCTATCGCTTGTTTAGTTGTTTATTTATATAGATACCAATGAGCTTGTAAATATGCCTAATAAAATGTGTGACAGTTTTAGACAAAGCCTGATGTTTACACACTCACTCCATGACGTCCACAAATGAGTTAACAATACTTTTTGCATGCATGTCAGATTGCCTAATTAATTAAAATGGTGTTCGAAGATCCATTAGTTTATTACTTTTGTTAATTCATCTGTGCATGCTTAAAAATTCATCATTATTAATTTGCATCTGGACTCAACGTCTGCAGCAATATGATCAATAAGTACAAATATGTTGATTTGTGTTAATGTTTGCCACCCACAACGTAACTTGTTATCGTATTATAATAATCAAGATAATCAAGGTACAAAAACAATTTTATTCTGAACCATACGTGACACTATCTTGTTTGGAAACGGAAACAGGAGAAAGTAACAGTGAAAAACAAAGTTAGCAAAGTTTATTAGTTGGTATCGTATTCTGCATCTTTACTGTTGTCATTTCTTTGTTCTTCATTGTTATTGAAGTTAGTATTAAGGCGTCGGGTTGATAATGATGTTATCATTTTTTTTTGTTGGATGTTTATTTTGAGTCTATTGATATCTATTAGGACAGCTTCTGCAACTTTTAGATGTATTGTGTTGGTATTTTTTTTATAAATTATTTTTGTTTTGTTGTCAAGAATTTGTCGGGTTATTGGAATTGCATTTGTTGATTGCAAGTGAGATAAGATGGCTCCTTTTTGTCTATGCATTGTAAATGAATGCGTGAATGCACGGTTCGCATAAGATTTTATTGTACTTACTTTGAATTGTTCCGTTCATTCAATTAAAAATAAACATTTATGCCAGATATGTTAACGATACCTTCGTTGCATACGATGATCTTCGAATCAAATCAACTAGCTACTAGCAACCCTGAGCTAATCAAAATTGAATTTCACCATCGAGCACGAAAGTGAAAATTTATTGCCATTTCTGGGTGTTTTAGTAAGAAAGATTTACAACTGCCGTATCCGTCAAAGTAACTAATAAAAGAATTTGTTTAAATAGGTTAAGTGAATGTACGGAAAAATTCAGAGTAAGTACAATAAAATGCTTTGTGAACCGTGCATTCACGAATTCATCCTCAACTGAAGAGAAAAGAATTACTAATCTACTAGAAAGCAATGGTTAAAAAACATCATCCATTGAGAGCACCATTCAACAAAGACTACAGCAAGATAGCAATATATTCAAGAACAACAATGACAACGACATAATCCTATATTACAAAAATCATGTCAACAGCACATAAAATAGACGAAGTCGTCCTCAAACAAATCATAAAAAGAAATGTTACACCGATCAATGATACTAATAAAATAAAACATCACAATTAGTTTTAAAAAACAACTGCACTTCTAAAGACGATTCTACTTTGAAGCCTAATCATGTAATATATGAATTTAAATTCCCAATTGACGACTGTACGCGTCAACAACATTCTTATATTGTGTTACGACCACTTCACTATCATGACGTCACACAATGCATAACACAAAGAGGAACCATCAAATTTCACTTGCAATCAACACATTCAACGCCAATAACCTGACAAATTTTTGATAACAACACAAAAATAGTTTATCAAAAAAACACCAACACGATACATCTAAAAATTGCAGAAGCTGTCCTAATATCAAATTGGGACAGCTTTTGCAATCAATAGATCCAAAATAAACATCCAACAAAGAATGATAACATCATTACCAACTCTACGCCTTAATAACAACGAAGAACAAAAAAAGTGACAACAACAAAGATGAAGAATACGATATCAACTAATAAACTTTGCTAAAGAAACTATATAAACCAAATTTGCATTGAAGATGATTTATGAAAAATCTAATCTGCATGCCTTATCTGCATGATGAATTCTGATAACAACAGTTTCATTAAATTTTCATGATCAATCAATCCTCGTTTGTAGTCTCCATCTGTTATGGGTCGGACTTTTTTATTCCATTTATCAGTTTCTTGATTAATTCATTCATCAGTTTTTGTTATGGGTCGGACTTTTTTATTCTATTCCTCAGTTTCTTGAAATTTAGAAGATGGCATCTTCCATGTCATCTTCTAAATTTTCATGATGAACTTGAATAATTATATTTTCAACAAATTGAACAAATTCCCATCATCACACCAGCTTTAAAAATGCCAACCATGTCATCAGAGTTCCTCATCATCACATCAGCGTCAACGACAATGCTATCTTAGTCGCAAGAGCTAATCATTTTCATCACATCAGCTTCAACATCCAAGTCTCCTGGATTTATTATTATCATTTTGATTTATCAACGCCAGGCAAGCCCACAGGATTTATTGTTATCACTTCAGCTTCAACACCGCCGCCATAGTTACCAGAATTAATCTTCATCATCACAGCTTCATCAATGTCAGCCAAGCCTAAAGGATTTTTTATCATCATCGCATCAGCTCCCAAAACCCAACCCAGTCACCATCCACCATCATTGTCACATCTGCTTTAAAAATGCCAGTCATGTTAATAGAGACACATTAGCTCCAACAATGCCAGCCAAGGCCCCAAGGTTATTCAAAATCGTCACACCAGTTTCAACTTAGACATTTAAGTCACCAGGGTTTGATAAACCCCAAAAATACCGGACAATAAATAATTAGTATATATGACATTACATTTGTCATGACAAATAAAATATATAAGATAATTAAATAAGTCAAATGTAATAAATAAATATGGATAAAGATGGGTAAATCAATATAAAATACCTGACGTTAAATAATTTGAGATAATCCAAAAAAAAATAATATGCTAAAATCAAAATTAGTATTTATAAAATAATAAATCAATATAATAAAATAAATAGAATTAAACATACATGTATATTTATATAAATAATGAAAATATAATAATTGAATGATTAAAACTAATTTAGTTCAATATACGTACAATATAAACCATGAAAGGACAAAAAAATATTATAATAATGTTTTTTAATTAGTGCCTAAATCTTCAACGTGGATAGAAATAAAGAATCAAATACTAAACAAAAAAAAATAAGATAATTAAATTGTAATAATGGGCCAGCATGGAGAGAATCTTTAACATACAAAATTCAAATTAAATATGAATAATTTTAAAATAAAAACCGTTAAAACATTAAAATAACAAATGGAGTCAGTTAGTACAGTACGGTGCACTTATGGGGAGGCCCGTCAAGTACGACAATCTCAAATCAGCATGGTTTTATGAGACCAGAAAAAAGATACTAAATATGCTTAATTATTATGCAAATCAAAATTAAAACTGTTAGGGTGTTACATTTTTTCTGTGCTAACTTACGGCTTTGAGTCCTGGGCAATTTCTAAAGAAATGGAAAAAAAAAGATTGACGCTGCTTGGATATGGTTTTTGAAAAGAATTATGAAAATTAGTTGGACCTTTCATACTTTGAATTAGGATGTATTAAAAAAGTCCGGTTATGAAAGAAGGAAATTACTATAGTTAATCCGATGGAGGCAGTTAAAGTTTTTTGGTCACATCCTGTGGAAGGAAAGAATGGTACAGGGAAAAGAGATCGTGGCCAACAACGAATAGCATTGGTGAAATCACTTGTTGAATATCATCACATTTCAACTTAAAAAGTGTTAAAGATCGGATTTTGTGGAGGTCGATGGTCGCCAATGTCCTGAGAGGATAAGGCATGAGAAAGAAAGAAGAAGAATTATGCAAATGCATAAAATAAATCAATTAAGAATATTTAAAATGAATAAAATCTTTAAAAATGAATAAATACCTATCAATAAACTATAAAAATGTAAAAATTGTAAAATTTAACAAATTCGATTGTTAATTATTCATGGAAACTAAAGAATGAGACCAGACTCTAGAGCGCATTGAATGTGAGTTCGATGGCTATTATCGTAAATTCTAAATATATGGGTACACACTACACAGCACTATTAGCAAAGCACGGAGATATCGTTGGTCCTCCGTTCAAAGCATCATATTTTTGTCCAAGATAGTTTCCAGTTGCAGCAGCCAGGACCTGGAACTCATTACCCATTGATTTCAAAGCCAACTCTGATATCAGTGACGCCCTTAGAGGCGGATTGAAACATCATTTTTTCAACAAAACGAAGAACAATTAGCGCCTCTGAAGATAGCTCAATAGAGGCGCTTTACAAATTTACAATGCAACACAAATCTACAATGCAGTTGCAGTTATAAAAAATGTTTGCATATATTCAAACAAGAAAATATTATGTTTGCGTGCTACTTATTTCACATGGCTTTGTAAATGAAAATTGTTTACATTTACGTTTTCAATATATCCGCTGTATAAAACAGTGCATACCTTATTGTCAGTTATATGACAAGACATTTTAAAATTTAATCCAACAAAATATTAAATAATAGTAAAAATTATAATTTACCAAATTTAATTTATCAGGTTGAAGAAAAACAACTGATTGAAATGGAGAAATCTAAATTGGAAATAGAAAATTATATAAAAAAAAGGCAGATAAAAGACGACATTGAACAAACATTGGCAGCTAAAAGAACAGCAGTAGCGAATGAATCAAAAAATGAAAATAAGTTCAATCAAGAAGTAACTAAACAGATGGAACAGTTGAAATCAGATAATTTTAAAATCTCTGATAAAAAAGTATGTTGTTGCCCTGTTTAATTTTCTAGTTGTTTCCAGCTAAAGAATAACCTATATTACAGAAAGAACTCAGAAAGGAGCAAGATTTATATTTACAATATAAAAAGGTTTTAAAAGAAGAACAGTTAAAACAAGAACGTTCAGACGATATTTTTTTCAAAAAAGAAAATGATATGGCTTGGCAAAATAGAATGGATAATTGGAGGAAAGATAGAGAAGTCAAAGATATGCTTGTTAAAGAAATTACTGAAGAAAGAAAGAAATTAATAGACGAAAAATGTTAATATAAATTTAATTTAATTTTTATTCTAATTGAGGTTTTATGGTTTTGTTTTTTTTGCTTGTTAATCTGATAAATTGTCTAGACAAACTTGTATATAGAAAAAGGAAAATAAAATATAAGATAAAATAGTAAAGGTTTTGCAGCGACCACTTCAAAGCAAAGCATAGCGACCGCGATATTTTATCTTTAGGGCTCAACTGTTTTCGAATAAAAGAGTGCTTGAGCCCAAAAGATATGATAAAAAGTATAGATAACACCAAAGTCTTTTTGCTTCAAAGTAGACAAAAAGAAATTTGCAATATGAAGTTGATAGTCCATAATTTATAGTCTATAATGGTCACAGAGTTAGTTCAGTTGGTAGGAGTGTTTCGCGCTGGTTTGAATACTGCTGTCCAAAACTCAGTAACTATCATACGCATATGATGCAGTGCTTGTGCGTTCATACGCATAGTGTATGTGTGTCGTGTGGTGTGGATAGTACATCTTTTGTAGCACGGAAGTTTAATGTTTGATTACAAGTATAGAATTACATATAAGCTAAATTTTGAGGGGCGGCAAATTTTGAAAACTAATGAGTATGGATCAATCTTTGTTTAGCGTCCAGAAACCCATTTCAACCGAGGTAGGACGTTGTTTTTTTCGCCATCAATTTTTTGCGCCAAATTAGGTGATCAGTTGTATCCATTTCATTTAAATTTAGAGCTATCATGTCTTGCTCGATTATTTGCGACCAAGACTTTTTTGGGCGGCTTTTGGGACGGGTACCAGGTACTTCAACATCTGCAAGAGAAGTTATGGCATTGTTTCCACCTTGTTTGACATGACCAAACCACCGCGGTCGGTGTTGCTGGGATTCGTCCTTTATATCATCTAAACCAGCACGACGCAGGATTTCAGTAGATTTGATGTGGTCCTTCGTTGCATCCATCGGAGCATTTTCATGTTGGTTCGGTGAAGTTGTTGTTCCAGTTTGGTTGTTATTGGCCATGATTCTGCACCATATAACAACACCGGACGTATCACAGGATTATAAGTGGTGGTAGTGGGATGTCATGCCGCACCGCATCAACATAAAGGCAAGGAAATGCCATTTATTCCAGGCTGCACGTATGCGTGCTCGAACGGCAGCCTCAGCTGTTTTAGTACAATCCAGAACATCCCCTAGATATTGAAACGATGTGACTTTCTCTACCTTAATGGCTTCAAAAACATTGCTTTTTCGAATTTGTTGTTGTGGATTGATGCAAGCAGGACAAACAATATTGGACACTTTAGATAAAGTACCAATTATTTTTGAACAACATTTGTGACACCATTGGTTACACTGCTGGCACTTGATTGAATTGTTATCTACACCATCATCTACAAACATCGTCCAGTAGCTGTGGATTGGATGGGTTCACCAGTGTTCATTGCTTTGGTTTTGCTGATGTTGAATTTGAATCCATGATCAGCGAGTCTGGTGTTCCAATCTTCAAACATCTGTGCTGGATTTTGCTCAATGTGGCTGTTAAAACGATATCATCAGCATATATTAAATTCCAAATGTCACCAGTGCGTATCGGTTTTGTGATTTCTTCCAATCACAGAGACTTGAGAATCGAGCTTTGGTGAACTCCAACGCCGATGTCAAATGCATCTGTGTTTCCAACCGTTGTGGTGACGAGAGTCTTAGTATTCGTATACATTTCTATCACAGGTCGTACAAGATATCCTGGAATGAGTTGTCAACGTAGACTCCACCTGATTGCTTCACGGGGAATTCGATCAAATGCTTTTTCAACGTCTTTGCGAGAAACTTCTCTTGCAGTTGCCTCAATTGTTGATTTTCCCGCTAGGAAACCAAATTGATAATTTTCTAATGTGATGCACAACGTTAATCTTCTCTCAATGATTTTCTCGACAATTTTCAGGGAGTGTTCTAAGAGACGTATACCCCGATATGATGAACAGTTCAATGGATCACCTTTGCCTTTGTATAGCGAGACTGTCATGCCATAGTTCCATTCAGTCTGCATTGAGCAATTTCTCCAGATTTCACGGCAAAGTTGTAGTAACGTTTGGATATGTTAATGGAAAAGAGTAAATGAGTTGCAGAGCGCATATCCAAATGTAAGCATTGCACTTCGGACGCACACTTGCACTCCTGCTACAATGTGTTTGGCCGAGCGTTCTTTTTTTGTGTAAAACGCGTAAAAATTATTTGCCTCCCATTTTGTCGGAAGAAAGGCTAATATTTTTTTGCAACCCCTGCATTGCAAAACCAATTTTGCAATGATTGGACCTTATTTTTAAAACTATGTTTTAAATTATTAAAGAAAATTTTTTTTAAATAAATTCCAGCATAGGTTGGAAAATGTGGTAATTTGCCAACCTAAATTTAAAACATAAGTATTTTATAACAAATAGAAAACTATTTGAAAACATTTTCAACTGGGACAAAAATATTTATTTAATTTGCCAACCTAAATTTAAAACATAAGTATTTTATAACAAATAGAAAACTAATTGAAAACATTTTCAACTGGGACCAAAATATTTATTTTTATCTATAAAAGAATAATTAGTTTTAAAATAATTTTGTGAATGAATCTAAAAATTTTATTTTCTGGCAAATTACAAAATCACTGCCGCTCAAATATCATACGATCACATCACAAAAATCATAGAGATTAGTAAATTTAATAAACGTTTAGAGCGACAAAAGCTGTAGAATGTGCACGGCTATCGCTTGTGATGATTTATTGAAAAATAGAATTTTATTTTTTCCTTTTATAACATATTTTATTGAATTTTTTAGTTCATGAAAGATTCAAAAAAATTGGCCAACATCAAGAAAAAAGTAAAAACTTCCTAAATGAAAAAGAATGGCTTGAAAATTTAGAATCAGAAGAGAAACAAAATTTTAAAGAAAAAAGTTTTAAATATTTTAACGATATTATGGGTCAAATACAGTACAACAAACGATTGTACAAGGAAAAACAAGAAGAGGAACAGAGAATCATAGAGAAAGCAAAAGATGCGGAAATAGAATACCGAGCAAAATTGGACGACATAAAAGCTAGACCCATTTCTGCCAATGCTCATCCATTTTATATAATGAAAAATCAATCAAAAATTTCCACAGAGTTGTGTTATCCTCACACATTTTGTAGAAGTGGCACTATTAATTGACGTTTTTCAATATACAGCATTCAATACAGTTAATAATATTTTTAAGAAAGTACTACTCAGTTGATTTTTTTTTGTTTTTTGATAAACCCTTTAATAAACTATTTTTGATTTATAAACCTGCTTTAAAAATCTGATTAGTTTCATACATATTCTATTCCTTTCTACATCTCTGGTGATTTCAACTTGCACTTCAATAATTTATCATGTTCTTAACTCGTAGATTTAATGATGTTTTGTCTCTTTTTAACTTAACTCAATATTGTTCTTTTCCTACCCATACTTCTGGTAACACTATTGATTTTATTATAGCTTCATCTTTTTCTAAGCCTATTAACATCTCTGCTAGCTCTGTTCCTTATTCTGATCACCTTCTTATTGAATCTGTTTTTTCATTAGATTTTCTTCCTTCAAATTCATCTATGTCTATTTCTAAAAGATGCTGGTCTTCTCTTAATAAAGATATTTTTCTTCAATCTCTTACTGAAACTATTTTTGATACTACCTTATTTTCTGATGTTGATGATGTCTATGCTTTTAATATCTACATTACTTCTATTCTTGATAAGCTGATTCCTCTTAAATCTTTTACTTAGAGGCTCTATTCTCGTAAGGCTCCTTGGTTTGATTATGCTTGTATAGTAGCCAAGAAAAGTGTTAGAAGACTGGAGAAAGCCTATAGGTTAAATCCATCTAACTCTCTTTATTCTATCTATGAATCTGACTTGATTAATTATAAATATCTACTATTCCCTAAACACTCTACTTTTTTTAGATATTCTATAACATCTGCTTCAACATCTAAAAATAGGTGGTCTGTTCTATCTAAACTTCTACATAAAAAATCCTCTCACTCATCTTTTTCTGCTCAACAGTTTCATGACTTTTTTGTAAATAAAATTACTTCTTTAAGAACATCTAATTTTAATTTTTCTTTTCATAACTTTACTAAACTTACTACTGAATCTTTTTCTGTATTTACTCCAATAAATCTTTTAGAACTAACTAAAATTATTAATTCTATGTCGTCTACAACCTGTTCTCTAGATCTACTTTCTTCTAGTTTACTTAAAGAATTTTCTTCAATATTTTATCCAATCATTCTCAAACTAGTTAATTTATCTCTTTCCACCTCTAAATTTCTTACTTCTTGTAAGAATTCTATTGTTATTCCTATTCTTAAAAACTCAATCCTTAGATCCTACCTCTTTATCTAATTATAGACCTGTAACTAGTATTACTTTCATCTCTAAAATAATAGAAAAAGTAGTTTTTAATCAACTGTCATCCTATTTAGACTTTAACTCCTTGCTACCTGTATCTCAATCTGGTTTCAGACCTGCTCACAGTACTGAAACTTCTTTACTTAAAATACACAATGATATCCTTCTCTCTAGTGACAAAAGTAATCTTACTTTTCTTCTTGCTCTTGACTTTTCCTCGGCTTTTGATACTGTTGACCATACTATTCTCTTGAGACTGCTGCATCTTTCTTTTAATATTACTGATTCTTGTCTATCTTGGTTTTCTTCTTATCTCTGTAATCGTTTTTCTTCTATTGTTCTCAATAATTCTACTTCTAACTCCTCTACTCTTACTTTCAGGGTACCTCAGAGTTCTATCCTTGGCCCTCTTCTATTTAAACTATACTTCTGAACTACCTCGTATTATTAATAACTTTTCTTTCTCTAGTCAACTATATGCTGATGATTTTTACATTTATACTTCTTTTCCTCCATCTTATCTCAATAGTGTTCTTCATAATTTATCTCTATGTCTTTCTTCAATTATCGCTTGTTCTGACTATATGTGTCTTAAACTTAATCCTTCTAAGTTTGAATTAATTTGTTTTAATAAATCTAAACACTCCTTTACTATTCTTCCTATTAACTTACCTGATTCTAAAACTCTTGATGTCTCTCATAAGTTTCGTAGTCTAGGTTTTATCTTTGATTCTACTATGTTTCTCTCTTCTCAGGTTAATAGTGTTTCTAGAAGCTCTTACTTTCATCTACGTAGAATAGAAAAACTTTTGCCTTTTTTTGATGATCCTACTCTTCTCCTTCTTGTTACTTCGTTAGTCTTATCTAGGATTGATTATTGTAACTCGCTCTACTATGGTCTTCCTGACTCTATACTCTATCATTTAAGTAAAGTTTTTAACTCTGCTGCTCGTCTAGTTGCTCGTGCCGCTTTCTTTTCTCATATATCTCCATATCTTGTTTTTTTGCACTGGCTACCTATAAAATATAGAATAATTTTTAAAATTTGCACGTTCATGTCTAAGTCTCAATCTAAATTATTTTCTAATTATTTATCAGATATATTAATTGAACCTAAACGCCCCGGTTTACGATCGTCTTCTTCTTCTCGCATTTTCTTAACTCGTGTTAAACACTCTTTTGCCAAATCAGCTTTTGCTTTTTCTGGTCCTTTTCTCTGGAACTCTCTACCTACTTCTCTGATTACTTCTCCATCACTTGCGAAGTTCAGAGCGGATCTCAAGACCCATCTGTTTTCAAAATTCATTGAGGAGCGCTGTTAAACATCGCGGAAATAGCGCTTTATAAGCTAATTGATTGATTGATTGATTGATTGATTGATTGATTGATAATAGAGCACGAAGGGTTAATGAGGGTTTGTAACGCACAAAAGCCTTTTCAAATACTTTGAAGTCTTGTGTTGTGTTTTCTTTTGTGGGATCTCAAAGACAACGAAGGTTTATGATCTATTTTCACTTTTCATAAGTTTAGAGGAATCAATAGCCCACAAACAGCTTATATAAATAAACGACGCATCCTACACGAAGCATGTGATAAGAGGGGATCTATTTGTTATATTTAAATATGGTAGCTGCACACACCGCGAAACAACACTGGGTTACCTTCACTAGGCCATTACTTTACAAAAAAATACTCCTGTATACTTGTGTGATATGAATATATCTCACGCAATGCTTTGTTTTTTATTGATTTAACACACGCATCTTCCATTTTATAAACACTTTTATTTGACTTCACGTTCATCCCTATAGTGTCATGCAATGGTAATTATGATGTTTGTAAAAGGCTGTATTTAGCAAACACGTATTCATTACGTGTTAAAATTTTTATTATAAAATGTTCTCTCAATTATAAGGTAAATGAAAAATTGATATTTGTAGCAACTTTAAATTTTGAAAATAATTTTTAAATACTGTCTAATATCAAAAATAGTATTTATGGTTTTTGGTAAACAGTTTGGTAAAAAGTAGGTAATGATTATGTTGTTTGCAACGTTAAGCTATTTTTTGTTTGGTTTTTTCCTCCGTGAAGACAATGTCCAGTCGCCATTTAGATTTGTTCTGTTAGTTTTATACACTGAATCAAGAGGCGGTGTATCAATGATAGATTCCGATAGATTTTAATGGAACAAATAGTACATAATATACTGATTACCACTGAGCAGCACAACATATGCTAATTGCCCCCTCAACTCACAGATTCTTTAGATGCTTTATAACTGAAAGCCTTTATATATATATATATATATATATATATATATATATATATATATATATATATATATATATATATGCACTGAAACATATTGTTGTAACCCTTGACCTCGTAACTACCAACACCGATGTTATAACTTCAACGATTTTTATATTTCCATCACCAGTGTTGTAGTTTCAATGATCTTCAAGATTTTTTTTAGCCTTTATTATTGCAGCTCTGACTGACATACGCAGAACTACTTACGATATATATATATATTATATATATATCTTTATTATGTTCTTCATATTTTCATTCATATTGACATTTTATTCATTGATTTGAAGCAGCCATCTTCGCCACAAAGGCTGTTTATCTTTTTCACACGACGTACACATGTGTTTATGTATAGGCGCAAGCACCGTATCATATATACGCTTAGTATATGATAGCCATTGAGATGTTTGACTTAGCGCGCATTTGAACCACTAAGCCATTTTGCCGGCCAAACATGCGACCACTTACGTCGTCTCCCCATTTACCGACCTTGTGATAAAGGTCTTTTCCTGATATGTTGGGTGGTGACTTGATAGTTATGCTTGCGTTGACGAAGGTTGTGTGTTGTTGTTTTAATTTTTGTAAAGTTTTGTAATTGATGGTAATAGAGGATGAATGACATGGTTGTTGTTATTTTCTACTTTCTTGAACGAATAGGGATATTTTAAACATATTAAGTCAAATAAATATTAGTAGTTGTTTGTTGAAACGCATGAAATTTCGTAGGTAAGCCAAACTATGGCTTTATTAGATGATCCATAAGCCACCATGTTTTCGAAACAAAAAGAAATATTTTTATTTCAATTGACAAAAATAGTTTGTTGAAACTCATGCAATTTCGTAAGTAAGACAACCAGGGCTTCAATAAGCAATATTTCTATTTAAAATTACAAAAATAATTTTGAATTTTATAATTAAATTTAATTACAATGCTTCAAAAATATTTAGTCAAGTTAATGTTTTGTATTAGTAGTTTTGAAACCATGAATATATATTAATTTAAAATCCATGCAATTTCGTAAGTAAGCTAATAAGCCAAGGATGTCAAATAGCCCGACCCGTGGTCGTATTTATATTTGCAATTTTCATTAAACTATATATCGCCCGTTTTGTTTATGCTACTTTCTGTTGATAAGTGTCAATAAGATGGCGAATGACAGTAAAGGACCTCCTTCGCTGCTGGTTGGATTAGTATTGATTATAAAGTCAAAGTAGAAATAACAAACTGTTGAATAAAAAATTAAATTGTTTTATAAAAATAAATTATTAAATTTAAAATTAATTAAATGCGCGAGGCAACGCCCGCATAAATGCCGCGCTTTAGAAAATATTACAGCCGATGTAAATACCGCAGCACATATTTTACTTCTTCGGGGGTAAATACCACTACTTATGAATGATTGCTAGATCCATGGTAAATACCTTAAAGTTTAATCTTTAATTATTAAGTACATTAATGTAACCATT